AGTGGGGGCAGAGCTCGGGGCATCGGCGATGACGCTACTGTTGGACATCGAGAAGTTCTACGACACAGTCTCGCTCGTCATCCTGTCCCAGATCGCCCTCAGTGTGGGCTTCCCCGCGGTGGTGGTGGCGTTAGAGATCACCGCGTTCGTGGGCCCCAGGTACCTGCAGGAGCGCAACATTCTCAGCGAGGCGATCTGGTCCACGAGGTCTTTGGTAGCCGGCTCTGCCAGAGGCGTGGGATTGGCGAAGCTGTTCTTGCACCCGATATTAGATAGGGCGCATCGGTGGGCGCCGCAAGCTTCGCTGTGGACATTCGTGGATGACACGGTGGCGAGGCAAGAAGGTAGCAGGCAAACAGTCGGCGATGGCATCATCCAGGTCACGGAGATCATCACGGACGGCCTCAAGGAGCAGAGGATGAAGATCTCCAGCAAGTCGGTCCTGATAGGCACTCACCCGAAGGACGTGAAGCGGACGGCTAAGACCATGAGGAAGAGGCAGATCCCCGTCTACGCAGTCACGGAGGCAGTGGACCTAGGCCTGGATTCGTCGGCTGGGAGGAAAAGGGTTACGACGAAAGCGAAGCAGCGCGCCAAGCGCGCGAAGCACAGGTTCGCCAAGATTGTGAGGCTGCGACGTACCGCGGCCTTGGCCAAAGAGAGTAAAGGTTTATGGATGGCTGGAGCAGTACCACAGGCAGTGTACGGTCACCAAGCTTTCGGGTTCGCAGTTCACGAGCTTCAACGGCTACGACGACAAGCTGGACAGGTGGCAGGAGGTAAGGCGCGTGGGCGGTGCTTGACGACGACACTGGCGGTCGAGCTGTGGAAGGGCGACCCAGGGGTGGCAATGCGAGTTGCCGTAGTCAAGGAGTGGATCAACCTGTGGCAGCGCTACCCCGAGAACCACGCCAGGATCGTCAAGGCATGGCCGCGGATCTTCGACCGTCTGTCAAAGCTTGGGCCAAAGCGCTGGAGAGGAGTTCGCGGACCAGTCGGAGCCGTGCAGGCGACCATCATGGACGTGGGCTGGTACGCACCAACGGCGACGGTGTGGATGCGACCAGTCGGAGCAGATGAAGATCCAGCAGAACAGTGGGACATCCCGTCCGTCATGGACGGCACTTTCGACAACACGGGGTGCTTCCAGCAGCTGATAGACGACTTCGAGGAGGACATCGTAGCACAATACTGGAAGGCTGCAGCAGCACACCCACATGGTGAAGGTTTGGAAGATGGAGCAGATGTTTGGCAGATCCGCGCAGAGCAGCGAAGGTTCGAGAAGCAGGGGCAGCTGGACATGGTGGGGGCCAACATCGCCGTGGTCGCGGGAGGACAGTGGCCGAAGCAGCGATCCGTCGACCAAGGCTACCTCCTGGACTGCAAGAAGTGCGACAGATGCAAGGAGGAGGACGAGACCCTGATGCATCGGATCTGGCTTTGCCCAAAGAACGTGGACCACGAGGACTTCACCAAGTCGGCGCCCCTGCTGCCGGCTGCGATGGCGCAAGCAGAAGCTGAGCCTGCGCTGTGGCTTCGAGGACTGCCGCCAGCCTCTCTCACGCACCCTAGGTTTAATGATGAACTTTTAGAGGGGAGGGAGGTTCGGTTTGGTGAGCTGGGGGACTGGGAGGAGTGTCAGCACGAAGGAGAGATCCACATTTTCGGTGACGGCTCAGGAGGCAAGCACTCCTCGGACCCTCGCCGACGCCGCTGTGGATCAGCGATTGTAGCATTGCAGGAGCGCGACGGGGAGTGGAGTGTGGGTCGAGCCGTAGCAGTCCCACTCCTCGGTCGCAGGCAAACGGTCCCCCGCTCTGAGATTTTAGCGTTCGGATTGGCACTCGAAGAGTGCCACGCAGATTTTACTTTCATTACCGACCACAGGTTGATCGCGAAAACCTGGAAGTACCGCCTGGAGCACCCGAAAGCCACGGGTCCCAACGAGGACCTTTGGTCCCGAGCCAGAGTTGCCTGGCAGACGCACCCAGACAGAGTTGTGAAGGTAGTGTGGACGGCGTCCCATCTGGACGAGACGCCAGAGCTGCTTGAATCGCCGCAGCAGCTGTTCATGGCAGCAGGGAATTTAGCAGCTGACGTCTGGGCGGGAGTCGGGGCGGAGCTGGCTTGGGAGTTCGGGCTGGTGGGGAGGGTTCCAGAGACTGATAGGATTGACTCGATCGCACATCTCGTGCGGAAACGAGCGCGCAGATCTTTGCTACTTGCCGCTGCGTCGGAGACGTCAGAGCGCGCAGGTAGAGCCCCAACCAGTAAGAGACTTTCAAAGCAGGAGAGACTGATTCGAGATTCTCCCCATCAGCTAGAGCGAGTAGGAAGCAAATGGAGGTGCTCTCAGTGCGATGTGATTGTGACGGGAGCCAGGTTTTTGCGTTTTTCGGTTTCCCCGTGTGCTGGGCCCCCTGGTAAAAGCAGGACGGAGGTCCCTGAGTTCCAGCCGATAAGCGGAGTGGACCTCGAGATCCACGAATCCCACTCGATCACCAGGGTCGATCGTTGGTTCTTGCAGATCTGTTCGGTCTGCGGGATGTATGCGACTGTGGACTCGAGGTCCTTGCGTCAGAAGTGTAGAGGTCTCACACCGAACGGTGCCGAGAATATCCGACGAATTGAATTAGGCCTTTTTCCTCGGCGTGAGGGGCCCCCCAGAGCCATCAAGATGGCCATTGCTCGCAGAGATGAGAGTCGTGTCGTGTCGGCCCACGAGGCCAGGGGGTCGCAGGAGAACATCGAGCTTGCGGGGGGCCCCGCCGAGCCTCCCGTGGTGACCCGCGCCCGCAACGACGGGCACGAGCGGGAGCAGCTGCGTCGTGCAGCCAACGAGTTGCGCACGCAGGCTAAGGTTCAGAGATTGCTGGCAGCAGCGAGAGGTACGACTGTGCATGTGCGGGCGCCGCGGGAGGATTCAGGGTCTTCCGATTGACGGCAGATGCCCGTAAGCCAGGACGAAGACTGGGGGACAGAGGTCCGAGAGCAAAGAGGTCCAAAAGAGGTCCTCCTCCTCCTCCTCCTCCTCCTCCTCCCTCCTCCTCCTCCTCCCCTCCCTCCCCCTCCTCCTCCTCCTCCTCCTCTCTCCTCCTTCTCATCGTTCTCCTCTTCCTCATTCTCCGCTTCCTCCTCCTCCTCCTCCTCTTCTTCCTCCTCCTCCTCCTCTTCCTCCCCCTCCCCCTCCCCCTCACCTTCTCCTCCTCCTCCTCCTCCTCCTCCTAGACTATGGCGTAGCACGGCACGATCTACTTCCTCAACTGCGACTGGAAGCGGCACCGAGGGTGGTGTGGAGGACACATTGCGGGCGACGACTTCGCGTGGCAGGATCAATGAGGCCATGGTGGCATCGAACGGCGGCGCTACCTGGACAGCTCCCCATCCCGCTGAGGCCTGACCCTGGCTGGGGCTGCTCGTCTCGCTGCGGGCGTGCCGCCGTGGACCCTGGTGCGCATGCCCGGCCATCGCCCCACCGCGCAATGACAGGAGGCGGCGAGATCCTCCCTTTGGCGGTGGCTCTCCGTCTGGTGCTGCCTGCCTACCAGACCACCCCAACCCAACCCGAAGACCCCTGAGCATTTTCTTAGGGTGGAGGTCTCAGGGTGAAATCCATATGGGCTTTTGCGCCTCGAAAACCAGGCCGTCTTGTGATTCACTTTTTGCAGATTCAAGGCTCGAAGATCCATCGAGCCGGCATTTCAGATTGCACCCTTTTCCCTCCACCCCAAGAAAATGCTCGGGACCCGCATTTCGGGTTTGGGGGGGGGAGGGGGCGGGTTCCACGTGTGCGTTTTCGATGTTCTCCGACCCCCCCACGCCACACTGGAAATGGAAGGCAAATTGAGGCCTTCGGGTTGGGTTGGGGTGGTTTGGTAGGTGGTGAGGTGTAGACGGGCCGGCTGCATGTTCGACGGCTGCACCTCTCCTCCACGTCTTCCCAGGCCGCCCGCGCACATGCCTTTTGTTATCCACGCTGCCGTGTCTAGCGCTGCGCGCCGTCCTCTCGTCTCTGCGCGCTGGGCCGCCTGGCCGCCGCGGATCTCGGGGCGGGGGCCTTCGGCAAAACGGCGGGGGGCCTGCCGCAATGCCGAGCCCGACCGACCCACTCCTCGGCCCTGGCACACCTCCGGGTGGGCCCCCACCACCGTCACACGGGGGGTCCCGCGGGCATTGGGGTCAAGGCCCCAAGCTTCGTGCGAGTAACCGCCTGGACCAGGACGCCTTCGCGCGCGAGATGGGCGCTCTGGCCCTCGACCACGACAGCCACCCCGCCTTTCTCGCTGGGGCCGAAGTTCGGATTGGGTTATGAAAAGAGCTTCATGGTATCTGTAGTCAGAAGGAGAGGCAGGAGGTCAGCAGGAGGTGGGAGGGGTGGTGCGAGGAGGCCCTGGCTGGAGGAGCGAGGAGATCACGCGGCACCACTGAGGCCACCAACGGTTCAACAGAGGACATCCTGGAGCACCCCGAGGGAGGCCCCACGTCCGCACGTCCGCGTCGGGGGTTCGTTGTCGGGAGCAGAACGATATTTGGTCCAAGGCTTGGGGAGCTCACGTCAAGCCCTTGGATGGCCGCACTTTTCCGCGAGGGCCCCCGCATGCAGAGGATGATGATGAAGATGAAGATGAAAGTGATACTGATGATGATGATGATGATGATGATGATGATGATGATGATGATGATGACCATGATGATACTGAGAATGATAGTGATACTGATGATGATGATGCTGATGATGATGATGATGATGATGATAATGATGCTGAAGATTATTACGATGATGATGCTGCTGATGATGATGGTGATGATGATGCTGACTATCATGATGACGATGCTGATGCTGCTGATGATGATGATGATGATGATGATGATGATGATGATGATGATGATCATGATGGCAACGATGGTGCCAGGATGACACTGGTGGAGGTGATGAGAGTGAAATCTAGATCTAGATCCCACTCGCTCCAGAGAGGGTGGACATGCTGAGATCTAGATTCCAGTCTTCCCTGATTCGTGGACTCGGTCTCAACGAACAGGGGAAAGAGGGGGAGGGAGCGGGGAGGAGAGCTAGAGAAGCGCTCACTCCGTGGACTTCTCCTGCCCCTCGCGCCGGGGCACGCCGTCGTCGGCGCGCGCGAACGCTGCAGCGCAGGTCTCTCCTATGGAGGCCCTGCTCAGCAGCCTGCCCCCCGGCAGGACGGCGTCGATGGCAAAGAACCCCAGCGTGTGCGAGACACGGCCGGCCATCAGTCGGGCGCGCAAGTCTGACAGGCGATCGGCGGGAGCCGCCTGGACTCGGTCGAACTCTTGCCCGCCCAGGGTCAGGAACTGCGCCGAGGCTCCCCCGAAAGACGCCTGCAGGAGCAGCGCTGGCAGCGCTCGCGGCTGCGTGAAGCTCAGGCCCTCGCCGAGCGCAGGGACGTCGCACTGCCCGTCGCCATTGTAGCCGCAGGCCGCGGCCGTTCCGTCGCTCCTCAGCACGACGGTGTGCCAGTCACCCGCAGCGACATGCGTGTAGGTCAGGCCCTCGCCGGGCGCAGGGACGTCCGAAAGCCCGCGGTTATTCAAGCCGCAGGCCGCGGCCGTCCCGTCGCTCCTCAGCAGGACGGTGTGCGCGGCACCCGCAGCGACCTGCGTGTAGGTCAGGCCCTCGCCGAGCGCGGGGACGTCGCACTGCCCGTCGTCATTGCAGCCGCAGGCCGCGGCCGTCCCGTCGCTCCTCAGCACGACGGTGTGCGCGGCACCCGCAGCGACCTGCGTGTAGGTCAGGCCCTCGCCGGGCACGGGGACATCGCACTGGCCTTCGCCATTGCAGCCGCAGGCCGCGGCCGTCCCGTCGCTCCTCAGCAGGACGGTGTGCGCGGCACCCGCAGCGACCTGCGTGTAGGTCAGGCCCTCGACGGGCGCGGGGGCGTCGCACTGCCCGTGGTCATTCCAGCCGCAGGCCGCGGCCGTCCCATCGTTCGTCAACAGCACGGTGTGCGCATAACCCGCAGCGACTTGCGTGTATGCCAGGCACTCGCCGAGCGCGGGGACGTCGCACTGCCCGTCGTCATTCCTGCCGCAGGCCGCGGCCGTCCCATCGCTCCTCAGAAGGACGGTGTGCGCGGCACCCGCAGCGACCTGCGTGTAGGCCAGACCCTCGCCAAGCCCGGGGACATCGCACTGCCCGTCGTCATTCCGGCCGCAGGCCGCGGCCGTCCCCTCGCTCCTCAGCAGGACGGTGTGGCATTGACCCGCAGCGACCATCCTGTGGCCGACAGGGGCCTGCCGGGCGCTCGAGCCGGCGACCGCGGGCGCTCAGGAGGGAGGGGGGCAGCTGCCTTGAGCCATCCCTGGGCTCTCTGGTGCGATCTTGGAGGCCATACTGGGCTGCTCGGGGCCATATTGGAAGCCCCAACGCCCCACACAGCCCTCTGACCAGACCCAGGGGAGGAGGCAGGGAGAAACGTCAAGTTTCAAACGGGATCGCTACAAGCCGTCTCGCTCACTCCCACCCACCCTCCCATCATATAAGTAGCACCCGAGACGCAGCACATCTCCTCCCTCCCTGTCTTCCTCCTCCGCCTGGTACTCCTCTGCCTACTCTTCTTCCTCTCCTTGTTCCTCCTCTTCTTGCTCCGCCTCGTCCTCCTCCCTCGTCCTTTCCCCCGTCCCTCACTGCTCCTCCCGTTCCGGCTGCTCCTGCTGCTCTTGCGGCTCCTGCTTGTTGTTCGAATGATCATGTTCTTCGTGCTCATGATCACCCCGCTTCTCCCCCTCCCGTTATCATCCTCCTCCCCTCCTCCTCCTCCTCCTCCTCCTCCATCTCCGCCTCCTCCTCCTCCTGTTCCTAGCCTAGGGGGGACGCTCCTCCTCGACTGCTCGCGCAGCGCCCGCGTTTCCCTCTCCGCCATCTGGTCCCGCAACTCCGAGGCGTAGTCCGACTTCCTGGCCGGCGCCTGGTCGGCGGGCACGCCGGCACAAGGGAGGAAGCAGAAGAAGGAGCAGGAAGAGGAAGAGGAAGCGGAGGAGGAAGAGGAGGAGGAGGAGGAATAATAATAATACTACTCATACTAAGAATCGTAATAATAATAATAATAATAATAATAGTAATAATAATACTACTCCTAATAATAATAATAATAAGAATAATAATAACAATAATACTACTACTAATAATAATAATGATAACATAATAATGATAGTAATAATAATAAGAAGAAGAGTAATAATAACAATACGAATAATCATCATCAAACAGAAACATAAAGCTACATTAACATAAAAGGCCGTGCAGTTGAATTCTCTTTTATGGGGGGCGAAAACCTCCCTGGTCTCGCCCTCGTGCTCCTCGTTCTCGGTGCCCTCGTCCTCGCCCACCTCTTCCCCATCCTCCCTCCGCCTCCTCATCCTCCCCGCCATACTCCTCCTCCTCCGCCCCCATCCCCACCCCACCCCAGCAGGCAGCAGGAGTTGGAAGATGACCACAAGGGGGGACGAACGGCGACATAAGGGGCGAGAGGGGGCGGGGGACGAGGAGGGACGGGCCGAGGGGAGGATATCCAGGGAGAGGGAGGACGAATGAGGAGGGCGGGAGGGAGGGCGGGAGGGAGAGCGGGAGGGAGGAAGAGAGGGAAGGAAAGAGGGAGGAGAGAAGAGGGGGGAGGAGAGGCATGAGACGAGGAAGGGTACGGCCTGAATGATTATGCGAATCCCTGCGATCCAGGAGGCTATCAATCCGCATGGACCCTCCACCCTCCACCCGGCCCGTGACATCCACGACGTCGTTGGATGAAACAAAAACACGGCGTCGTGAACAAACACCCGACTGGAGCCGTCGACAGCCGCATCGATCCGCGAGGTCTATGAGATACGAAACAGGCAAAAAAAACGCACGTCGTGACTTTTTCACGACGCCAAGCTGTCAGGGCCATCCGTGTCAAAGTCGCTCCCCATGCGTACCTGTCCTGACCAGGATTCCGAGGCGGCTCCAGCCGCGGCGACGAGGGCCAACCAGAAGGCCCCCCAAAAGACAAAGAACATCAAACTCCGCCCCGTCTTCCTGCTGGGCCTCCAGCTGCTGCTGCTGCTGCAGCTGCTGCTGCTCCTCCTCCTCAGACCTCCGATGTCACGATTCCTTCCTGGCGATGGACCCCAGAGCACCTCGACCCCGTCCCTGAGGCCATTGGCTTATCCAGACTCCTCTTCGGATGATGGTCCGGCCGTGGGGGCGCCCCAGGAGGTCCCTAAAGATGCCACCCACAACGTTTGAATAAATCGTACATCTCGGTCATGTTTCCTCCTCCTCCTCCTCCTTGCTCCTCCTCCTCCTCCTCCTCCTCATCCTCCTTGCTCCTTCTCCTCCTCCTCCTCCTCCTCCCTCCTCCTCCTCCTCCTCCTCCTCCTCCTCCTCCTCCTCCTCCTCCTCCTCCTCCTCCTCCTCCTCCTCCCCACATTCAAAATCGTACATCTCGGTCCTCGTTCCCTAGGCCCCCGACGCCGTGCTTCTCCCGCAGGGCGGACCCCGAGAGGTCCCAGCCTTCCACCCTGGGACGGGCGTGGACTGCGGTCTGACGGCCGTCGTGGCCTGGCGAAGGCCTCCAGACTCCAACAAGTGACGGAACCCCTCCCTTCTGCTTTTTGCTTCCATCGAGAGGGGACCGACTAAAACATGGATTTACCCCGAGAATGGTGGCAGCAGCTCGGGAAGCTGCGGCCTAATGTTCGAAGACCCGACGAACAAAGAAGTCCACGGTGAATTCATTCTCTAGTCGATCCCCTGCTCGATTCCTACGCTTAGGTCGGGCATGTCCTCCTAAAGGTGGATTTCGGAGGAACATCAAACATATGCAAAACACATCCACAAGCATCCGACCATAGTCGAAACATCGTCCCCAGACTTTATTGTCTGACTATTTCTGAATATTCCCCTGTAGAGGGACCTGCCCGACTTAATACTTCGCCACAACATCTAGGCTGGTTACCAGCCTGGAACATATCCCTATCCCTATGTTGGGCATCGCCTCGTCACGCTGGTCATCTTAGGGATTTCCTCAGTTTCTGAGGGTGTATCCCTAAGATTGTCATCTCCTTTTAGCGTGTCAATCTTAGGGATAGGGATAGGGATAGGGATAGGGATACGTTCGAGGCTGGTGAGCTGGGGGCTGAACGTCGCCCCCCCACGGGGCCCATCACGAGGGGTGCGCTCCGGCCAGAGCTTCCCGCAGCGGCGAGGGGCCTCGCGGAGGCCCCGCACGGGCAAAAACGCCCAGAACCTCTCGACGCTCGAGGAACCTAGAAGTTCGGATCGTCGTCGTCGTCGTCGTCGTCGTCGTCGTCGTCGTCGTGGTCGTCGTCGTCGTCGTCGTCGTCGTCGTCGAAGTCGTCGTCCGGCGTGGCCTGAAAGGTGGTGCGCCTTCCCTCGACCGGGGGGTCTTCGCTGGGCATGCCACCGACGCCGGTCGGCGCTGGCGTCTGCCCGGGCGCGGGTGGGGGGAAGAGAGACCCATGAGGAGGAACAGCAGCAGGATCGGCCACGCTCAAGAGTGACCCTAGGCAAGAGTAACCTTTGGTGCGCGACTGCAAGGGCCCCGGGGGGGGGCGGAGCAAATGCTTGGGGGGCCCTGTGGGCCCACACCACACGTCAATCTGGCGAAGGGTCACTCGTGCGCGTATCGGGCATACAACCCACCCATCCCCCTCTGCCCGGCAGATTGGGAAAGTCAGGGCGGCCGGCTTTTCGCAAGTTGTGTTAGCCCCTGGAGGTGAGCTTCGAGTCACACGATCGCCGAACAGCTCCTCAGAGCAAAAAGCTGGCGTCCAGGAAGAGGTCGAGTAATCGGGGGCCCGTGTCTTGGAAGCTCGAAATCGCCAGACGCAAAGGATCGCCCCTCACGGGCCCCCCATTCCCCCGAGCGCGAGGGGGGGGAGGATGGGGTGTGAGAGGAGGACGGAGGAAATCGAGGAAGGGGGGGAGGATCAGAATCGGCGGCGAGCCTGGGCGGGAAGCGGGAGGGGGCAGGTCTCCTGAGAAGGCATCGGGGCTTCTCAGAAGCCCTCCCGCCTTCTAAGAGGCCGCCTGCGTCGTCGGAGAAGGCTTATGAGACTTCTGAAAAAGAAAATCTAGACTTCACTGGGTTCCTTAACTTTTTTGATGATGTATTGCGCCAGCGGCATTTCAGACTCATAGGTGGGGAATTCCACTGAGCTAGCATGCGTACAATACCTGCCTCAAGCAAAGGAAGTGCACACGTTACTTTGCATTGCGTTCACATGTTAGCCAGCTGTGGCCCCAGGCAGTACGCCATAGCACAGTGTGGTGGAAGCCACGTGGTACGAGCTGTGTGGTGGAAACTATGTGGGGCAAGCTGTGTGGTGCAAGCTAGGTTGTGCAATCTGCTCGGGACAAGCTACACGTCGTTCATTTCTAATCGTGTTCATTTCAAATTGTGCTCGTTTCTACTTGCTCCTGGCCCCCCGGTGGCCAGGAAAAGGCCCAGGATAGAACAGCTGGAAATGAAAGGACCTTGGTCCCCCACAAAAATCCAAGAATGCTCGAAGAATCAGAAATGAACCATCCGTACGTGGTGCAAGCTGTGTGGTGCAAGCCATGTGGTGACGCGGCAGCGCGCGGCAACTTACCGGCCTGGAACATGTCCCTATCCCTATGTTGAGCATCGCCTCATCACGATATGGCGATCTGAGGGATCTCCTCGGTTTTGGAGGGTGCATCCCTGAGCTTGTCATCGCCTCTTGGCGTGCCAATCCTGGGGATAGGGGATAAGCTCGAGGCTGGTGAGCGACGGGCGACAGCGGACCGAGACTCGGCCAAGTCTCGGGGCCCCCACGGGCGGGCGGCAGCGGCGGGCCCCGGCCGGCAGAGGCCGGCAGAAGCGGCGCACCTCCGGGGCACCCCCACACACGGGCGGCCACGGGCGGCCACAGAGGCTACAGGCGCACAGGAGAAGCTGCGTCGGAGGGGGGGAGAGGGGGGAGGGACCTCCTCCTCCTCCTCCTCCTCCTCCTCCTCCTCCTGAGGGAGGGAGAGGGGCAGGGGGAAACGACGAGTGAGAGGGGGGCAGGGCTCGGCTGGACACCCTTGTGCCATTCTGTCGCCGCTGGCACTGCTCTCCTGGACGGCCGCGTCGAGAGCTGCAGGAATTGGGAGGGGGGGGGAAGAAGCGAACAGGAGGAAGGAGGAGGATGTTTGGTTGGTCGGGCACTGCGTGCATCTCGGAGAGTTGGGGGCGAACCCCTGCAGGACAATGCTCGAGGCTCTGCAGGCGACTGGTGCTAAGCCAGGCCTGCGAAACAAAACATTATGGACATGACGGGCGGTGTCGGGACTTGGCGAGCGGGCAGCCGAAAACGAAAAACCGAAAGGGAAACGAGTGCGAGGCAAGAGGAGGGCCAGGGGACGGGGAAGGGGAAGAACCAGGAAGGGCAATCCCGCGAGAGATCACATTCCGATGGCCTGAATTACGAGGCTGCCGCCTTGCTTGATCGCCAGAGTCACAAGATGCCTTGCCCTGCCACATGGGGGGGGGCACAACAAATATCACACAACACTCAGACCCCTGAGACGCCGCATCCAGGCCTGCAGAAGAAGGCCACGAAGCAAAAGAACGCGCGTATGGGAAACACAGAACCTCACCAACCATATCCTCCAGACCGCGAGCTGTTATATCAGGTTGGCCCAAACCTGCAGCAACATCCGAAGACGTTCTCGGTCCCCTTGGTCGATCGACGGCATTTTTTACAATTATTAATAATAATAATAAAACAACGTGCGTTTCTTCTGGGCAACGGCGGGTTTTCTCCAGCGACGCGCTTCCTCCCAGTCTCGATCGAGCTGTTGTTGTAGCATTGCAGCAATCATTTTCCAGTCGCCCCGCAGGTGGGTATTGGCACTGATTCTATCAAGCACTTTCTCCAAATCCTGGTTGGACACTACACATATGAGCCCGCACGGTAGGGCGGCGGATCCGCATCGCGAGCAAGATCGACGTCACCCATCGGCGCGTCATGCTCAGAACCTCCTTCTCGGGAGCTGGCGCGACGAAGGTGAAGGTAAGCAGCCGCGGAAGGTAGCAGCTCCCTTTTACCACGCGAATTATGGATACAATACCTGCCCGTGCCAAGATATTGTCCGATGCTGTTTGGGACATGGTTCAAGTTGTCACCCAGCGAAAGCGGTCTGTGTGAATCTGTATATATATATACACAACAGACTGCATTCGCGCTTCGCGCCATGCGCCTTGTTCCGGGCGGTTTCCTGGCAACGCAATATATCATCGCTTGCTTAAGCAGGGGGGGCCATGGGGAACCTCGAGGCCTGGACGGGCGATCGGCTCATTTGTCAGACATCTCTGGTGCCGACACCGCGTTCGCCCGATGCGTTTGCACGCTTGTGCGCAGGAGCGGGGAAGGAATGCTGATTTTTTCACGCGCGAAGGTGCTGGCAAACGACGAAGCATCAAACTTTGCGACGGCACCGGTCCATGAATGGGGAACGGGAAGGGAGCAGGGGCGCGGGGGGGGGGGAAGAGGCGGAGAAGGGGGAGGACGTGGGGAGAAACGGGGAGAAGGTCCAGAGGAAGGAGCGGGCGAATGGGGATGCCCATCGGGTGCCACGAACGTGGAGGTCGACGAAGAAGGCAAAGGGAAGAAGGGATAATGAGAAAGAGAGAGAGAGAGGGTGATAGAAATACGGGAAAGACAGGCGGGCTGGCGTGAACGCAGCGAGCGCACGGAGAACGCCGTCTGGGCGTTTTGGGGGCTCATTTGGGCCGTCCTGGCGCCCTCTTGGGCCAGCGCGGGGCCTTCTTAGGCCGTCTTGGGGAGCTGGGGCCCTCCAGAAGATTCCTAAAGCCATCTAGGGCCCTCTTGGAGGCCCCCAGTAACCTTTCTGGGGGCTTCCGATGGCTTCCGTTGGTTTTTCTTGCGAGCCTTATGGGGGCATCTTGGGCTTCTTGTAGGCAGTTTCGGGGCTCTCCGATGCAGCCTCGGGGCCCTATTGGGCCGTCTTTATACTCTCTGGGGGGCCTCCTGGGCCGTCTTGGGGCGAAAATCGCCGGGGGCGCATCGGGCCGTCTTGGACGTTGCGAAGACCCCCGAAGCGGCTATGCGAACAATATCGATACACGCGCACATATATGTGTATATATTGTGTATATTTAGAAAGAGAGCATATAACATAATATAATACACTATAGCAAACTATCATGTCACACATTATCACATACTATAACAATATATAATACAATAGACTAAAATAAAAGCTGGCATGTTATGATACCAAATGCCCTGATATAGTACGGCACAATAAAATATAATATAATCTACTACAACATATGTATAAGTATGTAGATGTTTCTTGAGGAATGGGACCATGTTTGTTTCTTCGGGACCCTTAACGGCCTCTTGGGGCGTATTGGGGGCCTCGTGGACCGTCTTCGCACCATCGAGGTTCCTCTTGGAGCGCTCTTGCGGTGTGTTGGGTCTCTCTCGCGCCTCTCCAATGACCCCGCTGCTCGCTCTGCCCGCAAGGCCCGGCAAGGCGCCCTGGGAGACCCGGAAGGGCCAGTGGGCCTTTCCCAAGGGCGCCCACAAGGCCCCCGACACGCCGAAAAAGCGCCCGGGGCGTCCTTGGGCGGGGGTCCGGTTTAGGGGTGGGGGGCGGAGGGGGGTCCAGGGAATGCGAACATCTGTATATACATATATTTATATATATATATATATATGAATATAAGTATGTATGTATGTATGTATGTTTGTTTGTTTGTTTGTTTGTTTGTATGTATACATGTGTGTATATAACTATATAGATATATGGGCGCGCGCATATCGGCCCCCTTTTTTTGTCAACGTCGTCATCTGAACGAATCACTTAAAATGTAAAGCCTCCTCGCGTAATGTATTTGTAAAGGCATGCGCATATACATCTAAAATCATACGCCCGTGTCTACGCGCGCCCCCAACCCCCTATCTGATTGATCATCGACCGTACAAAACAAAACTTTCACGCGCGTGCTCTTCAGATGCCCGCGCGCTCAGTCAGAGCAAGCGCGAGCGACTCAGACGCCCTCCCCCGCCAAACTGACCTGCCGACGCCTAGTCAAATCACCTGTCTCTTTCTCTTTCTCTATGTATATCCCCTGCTCTCTCTCTCTCTCTCTCTGTCTCTCTCTCTCTCTCTCTCCCTCTCTCCCTCTCTGTATTTCTGTCTTTCTTGTTTCTCTTTTGCTACGTCAACACTCATCCTCATTTCCATGGGGGGGGGGGCGGGAAAAAAGGGGTTTCCTCCTCCTCCTCCTCCTCCTCCTCCTCCTCCTCCCCCTCCTCCTCCTACGCCTCTTCCATCCCCCAAAAAATGGAAAAGGGAAAGATCCCCCTCGTTTGCCTCCCCCCTTCCCCCTCCTGAGGGAAAGGGGAGGGGCCGCATCCTCATCCTCCTTCCTGACAGAAAGGGCAGG